AATGGACACCTCATATTGTGTGGGGAGTGTGCTCTGTGTAGTAAAATATTCAGCAGTATCTTTGGCTTTTATCCCTTAGACAGCAGTTACGTGAACTTTGATAAATGTTGATAGTTGTAGAGGACCTTTAAGCCTTTTGTTCATAGGGGCACTATGAGTTGTGCTTGAGTCCAAGGCAATCAACAACAATGTTAACCAAATGTACTTCTTGATACTGTCCAACGTCCCCTGGAGGGCCAAAACTGTCCTTAAGTTGCTCTTACAAGCTGAGTTCAGTACTTAGTACATATTAAGTGCTTAATAAATGTTAATTGCACAGGCAAGCTCTGGTGGCCTAGTGGCAAGAAGCACTGCAATCTCAGAGGTGCATGGTTTGACTCCACCAGATGCTCTGCTGGAGAAGGAGGAACAATCTCCTCCTGTACCAGTAAGATCTGATTTGATGGTACACACAAAAAATAATGAAATAAAATTTTAAAAAAGTAAATGTTAATTGAATTAACAATATTATTATTTAATTGAACCTAAGGGTCAAGAGAGACTGTTGATTTTGGAAATTATGGTCAAGTTTCTCTCTTGGACTGGTCATGACAGCACTTCAAATGCCGAGGACACAATGGAGAAGAGGACACATTCAAATTTGTCCATGTGTTCCTTAAATAATGGTTTTAAAGCTTAATATATGCTCCAGATGTGACTCACCACCGGGTCAATGGACAGTGTCATGATAGATGGAGAAGAGATTGAGATCGTTAACAATTTCTGCTTGCTTGGTTCCAAATTCAACACTCTCGGCATCAGCAGTCAGGAAATCAAAAGATGAATTGCACTGGGAAAGTCTGCTGCCAAGGACCTCTCCAGAGTGCGGAAGAGCAACGATATCAGACTGGAGACAAAGGTTTGCCTGATCCAGGCCATGGTCTTTGCAATTACTTGCTGTGCATCAGAGAACTGGATAATGTCTAAGGATGATAGAAGAAGAATAGATGTCTTTGAGTTGTGATGCTGGAGAAGAGTGTTGTACATAGTATAGACTGACAAGAGAACTAACAGGCCTTTCCAAAAGAGGGTGAAACCAGGCTACTCCTTGGAGGCAAGGATTTTGAAGCTGCATGTCACATACTTTGGACATGTTGCCAGAAAGGACCAGTCTTATTATGCTTGGAAGGGAGGAGGGACAGTACAAGAGCTGAAGGGCCTGAATGAGATGGATTGACACAGTGATTGATTGGGGTAATTGGGGTAAGTGTGTTGGAGACGGTGAGATTGGCTCAAGATAGGACAGGGTTCAGGGAAGTTGTGAATAGGGTCGCTGTGAGTTGCAAGTGTCTCAATGGCAAATGACAGCAGAAAAAACAACAAAATAGTAGAATTTTTCCTGTGTACCATTTATTTTCATAGCATTTACTCTTTTCTGGGGTCATTTTACACTCCTGACTCATCTAAAACTGGAAATCCACTAAAATGTTGTGGTGATTTTGTAAGATTCCTACTTGTTGCTGCTTTCTCTTTATTCTAATCTATAATTTTAAATTGTGCTTTTGGATTACCAGATTCTACGGTTTTTTTCTTATTTTTTTTCCTTTTTTTAATCAGGCCTCATACTTGGTTTGTCAATGTATTTTTAATATCTTGGGTTTTCTTTTTTAAAGAAACTATATTAACTCTTTAACCAGTTTGAACTTTTATTACTTTGTCACTTGTTTGACAAAGTTTGGATTAAGATGTGGCAAAGGAAAACGATTCATAACATTATTAAATATAGAGAGAGCTCTGAATGAGGGTCTTATAACCTTCTCTTAGAATGCTTATTTGATAGCTGGAAAATTCTTTTCCTCTGCATCCAAATGCAAAAGTTCTTGGAACTATCTCTAAAAATCTGTCGGCAATGGAGCCAGGATATAACATCAGAAGGTCACAAAAATAATAGGGTTTTGTTTTTTATTGTTTGAGCAGCTTCAATCAAGCATTTTTACTCACTCTATTTAGACATAAAAAGCTTAACTCAAGTTGGAACAATAGAATGCTGTGGTTATTTGTGCAACAAGAAAGAATGAGTTTAAACTGGTGTGGAATTTAAATTGATGTGGAATGTGTTTTTCTAATGGTGTATTTTAATCTGATTTTCTATATTTTATAGAAAAAAATCTATGCAGCACTATAGGAGATTCACAGAACACAGTACAGTATACAGTATTTTAAAAATAGCAAAGGTCATCTGATCAAGATAAAGATATAAGATTATATGATCTTTGTATAGTAAGTACAGAAACAGCTGAAGACCCTAAATTCAGGAAGAAATGACCAAACGTACATTAACAATATAATGAGTGAAGTTTTGTTTTAAAAGAACTTTGTTTTAGAAGTTTTTTAGTATGTTTTGTGGCAGGTCACCTAATCTCTTACACACACTATTTCATAGAAACTCTTCTGACCTAGGCAGGGACAGACTATAGAATATTTCAATTATTCAGATGTGGTTTCACATAGAAGCTGGCGCGGAAAAGAAAACACATTCTCAAGTATGAAAATACAGTTTTGAGTTTGTTGTTGTTACTGTGTACCATGGAATTGGAACTGACCTACAGCTCACCTTCTCGGGGGTGCTGTTGGTGGTGGTGGTGGTGGTGGTGGTGATGGTGGTGGTGGTTTCAGAGACAGTTAATTGCATGGGAGGAGGTCACCCATTCTTTTTCTATGGAGCAGTGGGTGGCATCGAACTGAGTTTAAGCACCAGAATTTAAAAAACCATCCCATAAATAGATTTGATGCCTTGAACACAAACTGCCAGACAAGTTATAGGATACCATCATGTTGAAAGGAAAAATGCCATTAAAAATTCAAAAGAAGGCAGAAAGGATTAGAATTAATAAATAGGTGGGCTTGGTGAAGGGAAAGGCAGTACACGGAAAGGCTGTGAAAGAAAATATTTAGTTTAAAAGAATATTAAAATAGGGGGAGCTCTGGTGGCCTAGTGGCAAGAAGCTGCACTGCAATCCCAGAGGCTCTGCCGAGGAAGGAGGGACAATCTCCTCCTGTAACAGTCAGATCTGATTTGACAGTACACACACACACACACACACAAAAGAATAAAATAAAAATTAAAAAATAAAAAAAATTAAAATTCAGTTTAACAGAAAATATCCATGAATGATTGCATGAGAAGTCAATATGATTTATAAACTGTTACCACATAAAAACATACAAAATAAAAAAAGGGAGTGAAAAGAGAGAAAAGACCAAAGTGGACATTTAAAAAAAGCCCTGAAATTTTATCTTCAACTTAAAAATACTAAAGTGAAAAGAAAAATAATAATGAACAGAAAATTTCAAAGGGCAGCTCTGGAAAACAAAGTCAAGTATATAACAAAATATGCAAAAATCAAGAGGGCAACATAAGCTTAGTGTTTTTCAAATGGAAACAACTGAAGAACAAATTCAAGCCTTGACTTGCAATGCCCAAGGATTGTATGAGCAAAATATTAAACAGTGCAAAGCATCAAAAGAATACGGAAGGAGTCACTATGTTAAAATGAACTGGCCAAAGCAGAACTTTTCAGAAAGTAGTATATGATCAAGAACCCACGGAAGGAAGAAATAATGAAGGAAGAAATCCAAGCTGTACTGAAGACCTTTTTGGCAATGTCTGAGGTATTCAATACTCTTTGCTAACAATAAAATTCATAGGCCTGTCTTCTTCAGATGTGTTGTTGTGTACCATCAAGTTGGAAATGACTCATAGCTGACCCTCCAACGGGTTTTCACATGCAGTTAATCACGTGGGGGGAGATTGTTCCTCCTTCTTCCATGGATGAAGAATTCATTCATCCGAATCCATGGTGGATTCGAACTATGTGCCTTTAGGATTGCAGCACAGCTTCTTACCACCGAGTGACCAGAGCTCCCTCTTGTGTGTATAAGATAAGCCATTTTCTCCATTATTACTTCTGTTTACATTTTAATCAATTTTAATTAAAACCTTTGTTTGCTAAAACTACTCATTTTTTTTTAAGTAGCACAAGATCAAAAAGAGAAAACCCCCACTTTTTGATGATAGTGGAAGGAGAGATTATGTGCCAAGAGGTAAGGGTGGGATGGTGTTCTTACAGAACAGTATAGGAAAAAAGAGACTGAGGACAATGTTTTAAAACAACCTTTATTGTGAAAGTACACAAAAGCCTGGTAAGTAACCAAGTGCTCGGTGTATTAAACACAAGGACCTGGCAATCCATGGAATGAGGCATGGTCCCCACCTACAAGGCTTTTTTATGGCCTTCCAAAACAGTGTAAGGTAAATGGAGGGATGTAATATATGGATTTCTCTGTGATTTGTGAATTGAGAGATAGGAGAACACTCTGCAAGCACTTATGTAAGATAAATTAGATACTTATGATAAATGTAAGTATCAGCTATCTCTCCAACAGAGTGAACCTGTTCAAGCGTGATAAATTTTGGTCTTGTTGGGAGTTGCTTCTTTGACTAAATAATTTATGTTGGTACCCAAAAGGCATCCTATTTAAAAAGTTACTAATCTACATTCCATGTATAGCTCCAAATAATTTAACTAATTTTCTTCTTTTTGGCCAATGTCAACAAATATTTATGTGCTTGAGTGTTGTACAAATGTCTACCAGGGATTTACTACCAACCATTGTTTTTCTTTGCGCATAAACTTTAACAAAGCCCAGCTGTATCTTAAACCTTCATACTACCAACTTTTAAAACATGCCAATGACCTTCACATTATTGTTTGAATATCACAAAGTTGGTGCAAACCATGATTTAAAAAATACAACCCCCTAGAAAGCTCATTGATAACTCTTCCTAAATCCAGAAAATAACTTACTGCAGATGTGACCTTAACACGTTCATGTGTGAGCAAAAAAGTAACAGAAGGAAAGGAGATATTGTTAGTGATTCAATGTATTATTTTCATTTGGGAGTTTTGGGATATGAATGAGTTTCTGCAGAAAGTTTTAAGAGAAAAGGCCACTTGTCTTCAGACCATGGATTGATTAGGATTCTGGATTTTTTCATACTCGTCAGCATAGTGTTGATATTGATCAGAGAGGAGGGGTTGGTTTGCTCCATCCAGCCTGGTTCTGGCACGAATCAGACAAGAAGCACCAACAAAAACCAGTGCAACCAGGACTAAGGCAGCGACTACTCCGATGGTGACAATTTCGGAAATACTGAAGTCCCGAGCTATTTGGGAAAAAAATGAGGAAAAGGGAATAAGAACATAATTGTCATGCCACTCAAGTTTAGGAAGCACAAATTTAAGCACATCTGCAGAAATCTTCACCTTTTTAAAAAAATCAAAACACACTGGCACCTCATGAAAGCACGTCCTAGTTTCTTTTAACAAATAGACCCTATGAGATCTATATGATTATTTCCACTTACAAAGTGAGGAAGGTCACTTGACCACAAGATCTTGGTCAGTAGGCGACAGAGTCCGTTTTCGAGGCCACGTCAGCCAGAATCTAAAACCTTTGTTCTCCTACTATGCTCCAAGCTTTCTTTGTTGAGACTCAATTTAAAAGAGACTTAAAAGGACTGAAGAAAGTTTTGAACGGTCCTCGGCTTAGCTCAGGATATCTTTATTTAAATAAGTGGTGACATTAGGTAGTAATAAACGCTGTTATGTTCCATAGCCCTGAACTCAAAATTCATTCTCTGACCTTACTAGAAATGTGATCCTAGACAATTAATCTATCTAAACTCTGCATAGGATTGCTATGAGTCGCAAGCGACTTGACCGCATACAACAACAACAACAAACTCTGCTTACCTTATTTGCAAAATGACAATCATGGTATTTACCCTACAGAGTAACAAATGTAATGAATAGGATGTTATGCGATATAATGCAGTATCAGTTTGGAGGTGGAGTGGGCTCGTAACAGATCCTTTTTTTCTTTAATAGATCTTACGTCCTTTTTTTTTTTTTTAATTTTTCCAATGAAAGTTTGCAAGTCTGTATGGGAAATACAAGCCTTAGCAATACCGGCATTTGGAGCCCTGGCGGCATAGCCCATGAACAGAAAGTTATGTTTCTAACTCAAAGGCTGAATTTTTCCGGGGGTTTGAATCCTCCAGTGGTTCTGAGGGAGAAGTGTGTTCACTCTCCTCCTGTGGGACTTACAGCCTCAGGAAGTTGGTCGATAGTCAGCTCTGAGTTTGTCCAACTTGATGGAAATGAGTTTGGGTTTTTGAATATTGGCATTAAGGTCAGTGGCCCCCATGTTGACTCTGACTTAATGTTGCCCACCCCCCACCCCCGCCCCGTATGTGTCACAGCACAATTACGGTGTTTAGGGTGTTCAGTGGATTACTTATTTTTGTCCCTCAAGGACCCAAGCTATTGTGATTACTTGAGAGGTAATATGTTTACTTTCAGAAATTACCATAATATTTTATGGAAATACATTTTAAATACTCACTAGGCCATTGGACTTCATATGCATATCCCAGGTTTTCAGGGGCAGTAACGAACATCTCTGGGCTGGTAACTGGAGGCCAGAATGGCACCATATTGTATTGTCTGTTGTGTCCAATAGGGGCATTTTCCAATGGGAAGGAGGATATATCTAAAATAGGCCAAAGAAAATGTGTTACTAGGCAAAACAAACTTAATATTAATGTAATGCCACCATTATCTTCTAAAAACGTCCAAGAACAGTCAAGGGTAACAAAAAAAATTAATCTTTCCTATTTTACAGTGATTAAAGAGACACACAAAAATGTCATGAGAAGAGAAGAGGGAATTGCATGAAATAGAGTTCAAATGCTTTGAGTCCGTCATGAACGTATTACCCAGTAGAAAAGGGGAGTTTAAAAGCAAAGATGTTTTACTATTTTATCTTCTGGGATGATTATCAATTGTGTTATTTTCAAGTTACTGGCACTAATTTGAATAAAATTCATTAAACTTCTTTTTCAAAGCTAAAGAAAGGAAGAGTTTGCAGTTTGTTATCACCTCATCTGTAATTTAAATCAAGGAGACAGGGCATCCAAGGAGGTTTGTCCTTGACTCCGGATAGTTTTGTTTAATTTTTTTTCCATTTCCCTGTTACCTTTTTTTTCCTTTTTCATATTCTTAAGCTTTATTAAGTTGCTTATACAAACTTAAAGTCATAAGCATGACTTCAGGATCTGCACTTTTTATGTCAAGTGCTTTAACTAAGCAATTTAGGGCTTCTTGTACTTTGCCACACTCTTTTAGTTCTTTTCCACGCATTACAAGAGTCTCATATTCAGCCACAGTCTCCATCGCCTTATCCTGAGGAAAATCAACCAACTGTTTACCAGACAAAGGTTCAGGATCACCACCAGGTTTACATGTAGTTAACCAGCTGGGCTTATTTTCGGAATTTAACTTTTCTTTGTAAGGATCCTCTTCTATGTAGTCTGAGGTTTTTCTGCTGTTTTCATCTACTCCTTCCAGATAACCATCAATACCATTTGCTTCACTACTGTCAAGTATTTCCTCCATATCCTTCACATGTTCTAAAAGCACATTAATAAGAGACTTCCTAGAAGCCAGAGATCGTCTAGAGTTCATAGTCTTGTTTTTACTATTATCTGTTTTAGGTGAAAAGCAGCTTTGAGGTGTCCCTGTTACCTTTTTGAGAGAACTAAATAAATAGTAACTTTATTTCCTTGGATTCACCATACCAGTAGAAATTGCTTAAAATTTGGATGCCTTGGAATCCCATTGGCTATCTTTATGCTCACTCTTCTTTCTATTTTGCTGGAAGTTACAGGGATTTGTATTATTACTCAGTTTCTATCACCTGAGAAAAAGAGAGTGATATGATCCTTGCTGCACATTTAATTAATATATGTTTACATAATTAAATATCAGAAAGGATGCCACAACTTGGAGTTACAAGTGGACTTGGAGAAAGTAGTAATGAGAACAAGTCAGAAGGCTAGTCAAGCACTAAGCTTTGTTTGGGAGAGGTTCAATGCGTGGACAGTGCAAGGCAGACAAAGGTGTTTTAGTTGTGAGTGAAGCTTGGGAGAGCTGTTCTGGTTGTCAGCAAATCACACACAGGAAAGTGCCCATCCCTTTTTCTCAGAGCAGCTGGTGGATTCAAACTATATGTCTTTGAGATTGCAGAGCAGCTTCTTACCACCTGGCCACCAGAGCTCCCTGGAGAAAGCAGCTGAACAAATAATACTTATAATAATAAAACTTACAATAATAAAACATGTCCTTGCTTCTTTGGAGAAAATGCACTGAAGTTTGTATAATTTTATTAACAATTAACGGGACAAAAAAGGGCGTTGAATGAAATAAGTTCATGGGTGCAAAATTTTGTGAATTGAAATAATGTTCTATTATTTAGGTGTTGTATATTGCACTGTCTTCTTGACCATGGACTGCCAAGAAAACAAACAGATTCATCGTAGAGAGGATTAAACCAGGCTGCTCCTTGGAGGCAAGGATTCTGGGGCTTCGTCTGACATACTTTGGACCTGTTGCAAGGAGAGACAGGTCTTTAGAGAGGGACATCATGCTGGGTAGAGTGGAGGGACGGCGCAGGAGGGAAGACCCTCTATGAGGTGGATTGATTCAGTGACTGGGGATAATTGGGATGGGTGTGTCAGAGGCAATGAGATTGGCACAGGATAGAGCACGGTTTAGGGCTGTTGTACATAGAGTCGCTATGAGTCGCAAACACATAACAACATAACAACAACAACAACATATTGCACTATTGTATGTACAATGAGAGGCTTCTATAGGCAGCATTACAATTTGAATGACTGTAATTTACTCTAGTTAAATGTGGTCCTTGGTCCATTTGCATATTAACAATTCTATACCTCTTTAAGGGTCTCCCCTCTATAAAACCGTTTGCTGCATTTGGAAAAATCATTTCATACGCCACCCAAAATGACTTTTCAGGCCTAGGTCGCTTTAGAAAGTCTTTGAATATGTTGTGTTCCTTGCTTCCTCACATAGTGATTCTCTGATTTTCTCAGGAGCCATGGACTATTTAAGAAGGCAGTTGGTTATTTGAGTTTCATTTCCATACAACTTGTATGTGTTTATACTGACTTTTCCTATAATTTTGTGGCTACTTTTTTTGTTAGAAGATAGGCTCTAGATTAGTTATTTTTGGCTCTTTCTCCTGGCCCCATATCTCTTGTGGCTCTAATCCTTGGAAGGAGGAAAAGGAGACTCTTGCTGTAAAGATTTATTTCCTCAGAAACCTAGAGTTTCAAACAACTCAATGACACTGAATTTTGTTGTGTTCATTTTACTATTATTATTTTTTTTTTTTTTAGTTTTCCTGTCACTAGGGATAAGGATCTCTGGTAACCTAGTGGTAAGAAGCTGTGCTACAATCCTAAAGGCGGACAGTTTGAATCCATCAGCAGCTCCATGGGAGAAAATACAATTTACTGCCTCTGAAAACCCATTAGGGGGTCAGCTGTGGGTTGGTTCTGACTTGACAGCCCACAACAGCAACTAGGAGGTCATTGAGAAACGTTATGCTCATTACTTAGAGGGCAAGCGAAAGGACAGAGCAAAACTAAGAAACAAAAGTAGTTTTCTCATTCACCATGAATCTTTGTAAGTAATTTTTTAAAAAACTTCTTTAAATTGTTATTAATGTGACACATATAAGGAGCTTTGGTTGTGTAGTGTGTTATGTGACCTATTAACCAAAAGGTCCGTGGTTCGAATCTCTCAGCTTCTAGGAGAAAGATGGACAGTCTTCTTCAGTGAAGGTTTATTGCTTTGAATACTCTATGAGTTGGAATTGACTCAACAGCTTTGCTTTGGTCTTGTTCACTTAACTGTTTACAGCGAAAATATGACAAGTAAAGGATTATGTGTTTTCATAGTTTAAAGGGAATTCCTCTTAAGAGGTGTCCAGATTGTTCCCTCTTAAGGAAAAAAAATATCTCCCTTACTTCTTGACATCCAGGACCTGGTGTAAAGCTGACTGACAAGTTTGTACACAGCTGCCTAGGGCTCAGAAGTGCATGATGACCAGAACCTCATTTTGTTTGTTCCTAATTTTTTTGTGGTGTGATATGAAGATCAAGTTTAACACTTCAAGTTTAGTAACATTTTCATTTGTATGAGAGCATAAAACACTGTGGAATATGAGTAGATGACTTCTACTCTTTGTGGATATCAAAGATAAACCCTGTAAAAATTTCCTGTTAATTTTCAAAAGCAGCAAGAATGTTTGTCAAAGAAACCTTAAGGGAACAGAGTAATCATCTTTTACAGTAAAAATGAGAAGGGTTTATCTGCTTATTCTGAGGATGATGATAAATGCTACCTTAAAATAACTATTCCGAGACATTCCTTGCTTGTATTTTCAAAGCATTTTGAAGAGTTGAAATGGCCAGAAAAGAGGCTATTTAGTCCTTATTTTGAAGTGAGTTTTATGTGGTGAGTGCATTGTCTTCAGCTAGCACTCTGCCATGAACAATATACCCTTTTGCTGAGCCAGCAAGAAACTTCTCAAAGTGACTCACCAGCATTGTATCTCCTCAGCCATTCATCAAAGACAGCATCAGTGAAAGTATGCAGGAGGATGAAAATAGGGTCATTTGGAGATAAATGGGTTTGTCCCCCTGTCCCATTTAGAAATAGATGAGCCAGGTTATGAAGGCTTCGAACGGCAGGGTCGTACTTTCCGGTGGGAGCGCTGTAACCTGTGTGTGGAGGCAAGGACAACAGTAAGGATGCTCATAACATTTTACTTCCAAAGCCAACAGTAGGGAGGATATTTGGAAACATCCACCTTATGCCCCCCAAAACCCAAAAACCAAACCAAAACAAAACCCACCAAACTTGTCAGGCCACAGCTTGTCTTAAAGTATCTCTTCTCTGTACCTATTGTTGGGGACATTTGCTTGCTGTACAAGCTAGGCTATTTTTAAGATGATGGCATGACATTCTAAATGTAGCTTCTAGGTTAAAAATAATGACCCACAAAGGGAAGCCATCAAAATATGTAGAACACTGTTTTGACAAGGAAGACATTGATCTACGTGGGGGAAGGAAAAAAAGATAGTGGAAACCTCCAGCTTCTGCTTCAAACTGCTGACACAATTGGGAGAATGTTCCCGTTGTCCTGGACCTTAACTTGCCAGGTGTTAACTTCTGTCTCTTTCCTTACTCCTCTGGAGTCGCTGTCAGCATGTTTATTTGGGGATCTTTACCTTATGCTGGGGGGAAGTTACAATTTCTCAGAGCATTCCCACCATCTCTGGATTCTCTTTAACCATCTGGAAACCTTAATGCCCAAGCAGTTACACAACTTTTATGTAACCATCAGAACAGTGTTATCTATGCCAATCACTTTGCCCAGCTTCAATGGTTTTTAGGTGAGCATTCCAAAAAACTGACCGACCACTAAATGATGCACGTTAAATATGTGAGTCTAAAAAAGTACCATGGCATTCCTTTCAACAGCATAGCACATGTGGACTATCTGGGGAAAGTCTCACCTTTTCTGATGCCAGCTTCCTCAACATTAAAACACTTTGTATCCGGTAAAGGAAAGTACATGTAATCTTTTTAGAGACATTTGTCAAGGTTACAAGGAAGTATGAACCTAGATAAATCATATACTCTGAGCAGTCTTCAGTAGCTGTTTGGAAAAATCATTGAATAAGCTCTCAAAGTCTAGAACATAGAATTATGTACTACTCTTGGTGTGACCAATTAGCTAGCCAAAAGTTTGGTTTAACTAATGTTTATGAAAAATACTTCCTAAGGTCTCTTCTATGTTCATTATAAAGGATTTTATGATCTGATACTTCTCTGCACAGAAGTTATCTTTGAGGAAAGAATTGTGACCACATCAACGGGGGGCAACTCCAGTGCCAGAAATTCACAGGATCAGCCCCTCAGTCGAAAGCTCTGCAGAGTGACCTGGCTTGCAATGTTTGTTTACTTTGCAGTAAAGTCAAAGCATCAATTTTGTTACTTGCCTTCCACTGTGTTTCGGAAGCTGTTTGTAGAATTGGAGTAAAATGGTGGTGTGTCGAATAAACCAACTTCCAAGCACTGAGCCACGTCCTGTGGTTCCGGGAGACGCTGCACCATTGGTCTAGCCACGTTTCCAGCAGGATTTCTCCTAATTGGCCCACCCTCAGTGCCTGAGAAAGATATGTATGAGAACATTTGTGTAATCATTGTCTTCTTATTGCTTTATAAAGCTATGTATGCAGAGCAGAAACACTGCTAGAGCTTTTCTTGCTAAAGAAATGAAAAATGCAAATTTAGTGACATTATAGTGGAAAAAAAATCTGATGCCAAATTCTACATTTGTGTGTGGAGTAGATATGTGATACATGAAATAATCCAAAGGGGGGTAAAAAAAGGATCTCACTGCCAGATATCATTCCCAGTGGCTGTGAATTTAACTTATGCTCCTTTCACGAGAATGTATTAAGAAGAACATTCAGAGGAAAATTGAATTTTGCCAAAATAACCTCATCAATGTAGATTCTACCAGGAAGTACTCAGCTTCAAAATGCATCTAAATATTGAGATATTGTTTCACAATTGTTTTAAAGTGTTTTGAGAAATGTGCTTATCCAGTAAACCCAGAAGTTTAACAGCAAATAACTCAAGCATTAACTTCTACAGTGCAAACTTTGAGGAAAGGAAGAGCCATCTACAATAATTTTTCATGTGAGGCAAACATATAAGAACATGTAAATGACTTTACTCCCAAAATCTACTTGTCTCGAGCCTTCAGAGAAGTATGGGAACAATTAAAAAAATATCTTTGGGAGGTAGTTACTTAATAATTACTGCATGAGAGTATTAAATTATTTCTAAATAGGAAAACAAATATGAAAAGAAAGAACTGTGAAACTACTGATGATATTGATATCTTAAGAAGGAGAGAGATGGAGATGAGACAGAGAGAGGGGGCAAAGAAATACACACACACACACACACAAGAACAGAGAATGATTTTCTTCTAGTTGGAAAACTACAGAGAGGTTTGCATGAAGAGATTTGCAAAACTGTTGAGGAGATTTTTTTCCTCCACAAGAATAAAGATAAAAAGAGGAAAGAATTGCTACAAGGATAAAATAAGGGAGAATATTAAAAGCATTTCACACTTTCTCAACATAATAGAAGGTCAATGAAATGGTAGTTTCTTCTTTCCTTTGCCTAAAGAATACTGCTGATTATTTCTTTATTGAACAGAGGAAAGAGATAATTTAGAGACTTAACCAAAAAGTGTAATTTTTAATTTGCTACAAAGTGTACAAATTGCATGATATGTTACATTAATTGACAAGAAAAATGGTGATGGGAAGAAAAAACCAACCTCAAACTTTTCCCATTTCTTCTTTCTTTCTACAATTTAATTTAATTTATCCTTTTAAATCATTCTATCCTTTTGTATCCAATATCAAAATACTTGGAAAACTCTTAAGACAAGGTGTAATATCCTGGTCTAAAACAAATTTAAATTACCGTACATAAAAATATCTTGGTCTTCAGTTTCATTTTGCCACCACAAGGTTAGACCACTCATGCCTCATGCCAACCAGATAAAGATCCAACCTTATATTTATACTTCTACAGATAAAAAATTCATATATTATTACTTTCCTTAATAAGCTCTGGTGATACGTTGTGTAACAGATCGAGCAGCACGTGCTCTTGTGTTCCTTGACGTTCTGAGAACTTGAAGGCTAATCTAGCTGGTAGACCAGCCAGCTATTCCTGTGTGGTATTTAACTGAAATATTGGCAGGTCAAATCCTCTAGCCAATCTGTGGGAGAAAGATGGGTAGTCCCCTCTGGTAAAATTCTCAACCTTAGGAACCCAATGGAGGCTCACTTCTGAGTCAAAATCTGTTTGATGGCACAGGATTTTGTTTTGCTTAATGTCCTTACTCCTATACTCAGACAAGTAGCTTTCTAACATGAGATGTTTACTGGATATGTTCTCCTGCATTTAGAATATTCTCTTTTTAAAGTGAAATAATAGGTTAACAATTGATGCTTATCATATATACACAGAATAAATGAATCTTATGAACATAACAAGCAATGATGCCAGTTTACAGATGAAAGCACACCTGGCCCAAGCTGTGGTATTTTTAGTTGGTTCCTATGCGTCAGAAAGGTGGATAGTGAGTAATGATGACAGAAGAAGAACGAGAGGCCTTTTGAGTTGTGGTGTCAGGGAAGAGTACTGACTACCTTGTGGATGGCCAAAAGAACCAATAAGACTATCTTGGAGGAAGTGCAAACAAGGTGAGTCCTAAAGGGAAGAGTGGTGAAATTCTGCTCACACACTTTAAATTGTTCTCAGCCCTTGGAAAAAAGACATCATACTAGGAAAGATGGAATTTCAGAGAAAGAAAGGAATGCCTCCAATGAGACAAATCAATGCAGTGACTCAAGCCTCACAGATCTTGTAGGAGGTGTAGAGTAGGGTAGAATTCAGATCTGTTGTCCATAGGGTTGCTATGCAACTAACACAATAACAACATAAAGATAATGATTAAATTACTATCTACACTTCAACTTTCTATATGGAAGACTAAAAGTTCAAAAGAGTCAAGACAAGCTCAAAGAAGAAAACAACACCAAGTGCCCATCAACAAATGAATGGATAGAAAAGCTCTGGTATATTCACACAATGGAATACTATGCTGCATTTAAAAACAAGGAACTCATGAAATATTATGCAAAATGGGTGACCCTGGAGGACATTATGCTGAGTGAAATATCTCAGTCACAAAAAGACAAATAC